TAAAAAGCTACCTCTCTTTTATCTCACTATTATGATGAAAATAAACGACTAACCGCAGAATTGGAACAAAGAAATGCGTTAATCGAAAAATGTATGATTTTACAGTATATTCATTATTTGGTTCCTTAAAAAATGTTAGAATCGCTAATAAAATTATTGCACTGTTAGTTGCTTTGCAACTGAAAAAACAGGAAAATGAAATCAATCGCCTCGGACAAATCACTAAATATCAGAATACAGAGATGGAAGTGAATAATTTGAATAAGGTGGATTTGCAGTTACCCAAAAATTTTGAAAAACGGGCACTCGAAAAATTGTATAAACTCGGATTATAAGTGCTTTTTTTCTGTGATTTTTTCATTTACTAAATGCATCGAATATAGCACATCTTTTGAAATATAAATGATTGAAAGTTCAAAGAATAAATAAAGTATACATTTGAAATAAGAATTGTAGTTATGGATAATGTAGTGTATATTACACCATTAATACTTTTAAAAAGTTAAAAATTTTTTACGATTTTTCTTAACTTTGTTTGGTTACACGAGATCCAAAAATTGGCACGGAGCGTGATGCTAATAATATGTGATGTTTTACAAATTATTCTTATGTGATGATTTAGCAAAATATTATAGCGTTAATTTTGTTTCGGTTTGTATTTTTTTATTCTTTTAAAACTTATAATTTGATTGGCCAATTATAATGTGAAAATACATGACATTGTGTAACATTAAATGCTCCCACCTGTTATTAAATCGCAAAAAATGAATAACGACACAAAGAATCTATAGTCGTACTTGCTTGTCAATAGTGCGAAACCATCATACCTATCACAACCCGGTTCCAAGCAAAGATAAGAACATAATATAGCAATCAATTCTGCCAACATATTTATAGCTTTAATTTATGACAATGTTAATAAGCTAATACGTACCTTGTATGGTATCAGTGAATGCTTTAAATGTTTTAAATTCTTGAAGGAATCGATCTCGAATTTTTACAAAACGACGTAATTCGTGACTACATCGCATGTGATACAATAAAATCTTATTGGTTGATGTAGATCAATTTAATTCCAGTCAGAATTAAAGTATATGTATTAACTCCGGCCAGAATTAATATTCCTAACCCCGATCAGAATTAATCTTCAGAACTAGAAGAATAGTCCTCATTTTTTCAACATTTTGGTAGGTATATAAGATGAACTCATGAGAGCAAAACACAAGAAACTTTTAATGAAATAATCACGTGAGTATTTAAATTAATACCACTGAGTAGATTTATTTATAAGATATTTGATGTAATTAGAACAGATATAACATCCTAGGGTCTAGGTTATATTGGAGCGATTCAATATTGACATTGTTCGTATCTGATGTTAGTTTTATTAAATAAATAAAGCTCACCTTTTTTTTGTTTTTTAGTAGATTTCTTTTCAAGGGCTTAATTTTAGTCAGGCGCTACATTAGATAAATCGCTACTTTAGATGCAACATATACATTTGGCACCTTTAAAAGTGTAATTCTTTATCGGCGCGTTTTTATTTGAATACGCGTCACGTCACGACATAAAAAAAAAAACTAGAGATAAATTACATATGTTTTCCTTCATCCATTTAATTGAATTATACTATAATATCATATCCACCGATTTGGTTTGACCCCAAAATTGGCCAATCATGATCGAGAATTATTTGTTGTTAAAATTTATTACAAAGTGAGTTTTCTTTTAATCCATAATCAAGGGTATAGAATATTTTAATACCTACATGTTTAATTATTAGCTGAAAGTAAGTTAAAAAGGTCGTTTCCTGAAAAATTGCTTCTGAATTCACCCTTACCCATTATACAACCGATCGTTCAATGACAAACAGATCCTTCATTACCTGAAAATACCCGAACGCTTCAGCAACTAGTGATAGTGCTTCCTTTTACAGCTTGGCATAGCTGTTTTTTTAATATTTATTGTTTATTTATCTCATATAGAGACCAAAAAACTATTTTATTTGAATGTTTCGTTTGTTATTCTCACGTCAGAAGTTCGTGTAACAGTTTATCGAAAAAAGACCCCTAAAAATCAAATCGGTGGATATGTATCACATGAAACGATTGATCTACAGCACATGATCTGATATAAATTTCATGTAAAATGGATCGACATTGTTTACATTTAAC